CTTGATATTTTAACATGAAAGATTGTTTGATCTTGGAATACCAGTTACTCTGATACAGTAAGACTCTGGAATCAGATGTACAGTAGGAGAAAGAAAGAAAGTACATTGGGGTGCTGATGTTGAATGGGGACAAGGAGGTCACGTAGGGGAAAATCACTGACCATTTTATTCAGTGTACCTTATTAAACTTGCCCCTGGGGTGGAAGTGAGGCCAGATGACAAGTGCCTTGTTATTTTTGTTGAGTCTCTCAGTCGTGTCCAACTCTGTGACCCCATGGACTCCAGCACACCAGGCTTCCCTGTCCTTCACTACCTCCAAAAGTTTGCTCAAACTCATGTCTGTTAAGTCAGTGATGCCATCCAACCATTTCATGCTCTGTCACCCTTTTCTCCTCCTGCCTTCAATCTTTCCCAGTATCCGGCCCTTTTCCAACGAGTCAGCTCTTCACATCAGGTAGCCAAAGTATTAAAGCTTTAGCATCAGTCCTTCCAATGAATGTTCAGGGTTGATTTCCTTTAGGATTGACTGATTTGATCTCCTTGCAGTCCCGGGGACTCTCAAGAGTTTTCTGTAACACCACAGTTCAAAAGCATCAATTCTTTGGTGCTTAGCTTTCTTTATGGTCCAACTCTCACATCCATACATGACTACTGGAAAAACCATAGCTTTGACTACAGGGATCTCTGTTGACAAAGTAATGTCTCTGCTTTTTAATATGCTGTCTAGGTTGGTCATAGCTTTCCTTCCAAGAAGTGTCTTTTAATTTCATGGCTGCAGTCACCGTCCACAGTGATTTGGAGCCCAAGAAATAAAATCTGTCACTGTTTCCATTGTTTCCTGTCTGTTTGCTATGAAGTGATGGGACCGGATGCCATGATTTAGTTTTTTGAAAGTTGAGTTTTAAGCCAGCTTTTTCACCTTCATCAAGAGGCTCTTTAGTTCCTCTTTGCTTTCTGCCATAAGGGTGGGTTCATCTGCATATCTGAGGTTATTGATATTTCTCCCAGCAATCTTGATTCCAGCTTGAGCTTCATCCAGTCTGGCATTTTGCATGATGTACTCTGCATATGAGTTAAATAAGCAGGATGACAGTAGACAGCCTTTATATACTCCTTTCCTTCCCAATTTTGAACCAGTTTGTTCCATGTCCAGTTCTAACTGTTGCTTCTTGACCTGCATACAGGTTTCTCAGGAGGCGGGTAAGGTGGTCTGGTATCCCCATCTCTTTCAGAATTCTCCACAGTTTGTTGTGATTCACACAGTCAAAGGCTTTAGCGTAGTTAATGAAGTAGATGTTTTTCTGGAATTCTCTTGCTTTTTCTATGGTCCAGTGAATGTTGGCAATTTGATCTCTGGTTCCTCTGCCTTTTTGAAATCCGGCTTGTACATCTGGAAGTTCTTGATTCACATATTGTTGAAGCCTACTTTGAGGAATTTTGAGCGTTACCTTGCTAGCATGTGAAATTAGTGCACTTGTGTGGTAGTTTGAACATTCTTTGGCACTGCCCTTCTTTGGGATTGAGATGAAAACTGATCTTTTCCAGTCCTGTGGCCACTGCTGAGTTTTCCAAATTTGTTGGCCTATTGAGTGCAGCACTTTCACAGCATCATCTTTTAGGATTTGAAATAGCTCAGCTGGAATTCCATCACCTCTACTAGCTTTGTTTGTAGTGATGCTTCCTAAGGGCCACTTGACTTCACACTCCATGATGTCTGGCTCTAGGTGAATGATCACACCATCAAGGTTATTTATAAGACCATTTTTGTACAGTTCTTCTCTGTGTGTGTGCGTGTGTGTGTGTGTGTGTGTATTTTTTTTTTTTTAGTTTTTTATTTGACTGCTCTGGGTTCTAGTGGCATGTGGGATCTAGTTCCCTGGCCAGGGATTGAACCCAGGCCCCCTGCATTCCAAGCTCAGTGTCTTAGCCAGTGGACCACCAGAGGAGTCTATTTTTCTGTGTATTCTTGCCACCTGTTCTTAATATCATCTGCTTCTGTCAGGTCCATACTGTTTCTGTCCTTTATTATGCCCATCTTTGTATGAAAAGTTCCCTTGGTATCTCTAATTTTCTTGATGAGATCTTTAGTCTTTCCCATTCTATAGTTTTCCTGTATTTCTTTGCATTGTTCATTTAAGAAGGCTTTCTTACCTTTCCTTGCTATTCTTTGGAACTCTGCATTCAGATGGTTGTATCTTTTCTTTTGTCATTTGCCTTTCTCTTCTTTTCTCAGCTATTTGTAAGGCCTCCTCAGACAACCATTTTGACTTTTTGCATTTCTTTTTCTTGGGGATGGTCTCGATCACTCCTCCTATACAGTGTCACAATCATCATCCATAGTTCTTCAGGCATTCTGTCTATCAGATCTAATCCCTTTAATTTCTTTGTCACTTCTGCTGTATAATCGTAAGGGATTTGATTTAGGTCTTACCTGAATGATCTAGTAGTTTTCTCTACTTTCTTCAATTCAAGTCTATATTTTGCAATAAGGAGTTCATGATCTGAGCCACAGTCAACTCCTGATCTTGTTTTTGCTGACTGTATAGAGCTTCTCCATCTTCAGCTGCAAAAAATCAAATCAGTCTGATTTCGGTATTGACCATCCGGTGATGTCCATGTGTAGAGTCATCTTTTGTGGTGTTGGAAGAGGGTGTTTGCTGTGACTAGAGTGTGTGTTCTCTTAACTTTTCTTGTGCACACCAAGACCCAGTGGGAGGCGAAATTCAGCTATTTTGGAGAAAGGATAAGGATTTCCAGAAACTGGGCCACCGCCCACTTTTTGGCCTTTTCTGGTCGTCCGTGGAGCTGTCTTGGTGCCTATGGATGTGTCACGTAGTGTGCTGAGGTGTCACAGTGCGTGTGCCCCAAGACCCGAGGTCTGGTGGATGTCAGCCACCCACCGTCCTGGACCTAGCTGCTGCTAACCAGTTTGTGTCATGTCCTTGGGCTGCATCATTCTTTTAAAGGTTGTGTGCCCTGCCCCCCTCAGTCTCACTACGAATCCAGAACACCCCAGTTCCTCTCAAGTGGGGTGATGGCCTGTACCACGCAAGGTCGAGAAAAGGCAGATTGAAGTCAGGAAACATTTGCAAAGTGGTTGCTGAGGTGTCAGGTTTCTTAAAACTAAGAGGATTCGTGCTTGTGTTGGACATTTTTATGTTTTCACTTTTGGACGTACCTATTTGAATGTATGACATAGTGTTTTTAAGATTAGGAATGATGTTGTGGTTTCATAAAATGTTAAGCCCTATAGCTTAGGCTACAAATAGCAGAGTTGATTTAGGCTTCAGAAGTTCAGGACTGTCCACTCGTGTGGCTGCCACTGTCCTTTAATGTGCCTTAGCCCGCAGAGAGCTCCGTGCAGCCACTGAGGCGCTGGGGGCACTGAACCCCTCGCAGGCTGTGACACCCATTCTTAGTACTCCAGACACCATGTACCTCCCAGCATTTATTTTCTGGAGCCATTGAAGTAATTCGCCGTTTCCTAGTTTTACACCAGAAGTACTTGTTTAAAAACCACCACATTTTGATGTGATATGCATAGACATTCCTTGAAGTATGTCTGTAATGTTTTATATTGGAAAGTACTGACTTAACACAATATTGGATAGCTAACGTTCTTTATCTGTGGATCCATAATCCTGAGGCATTATAAATTGTATTTTGCAGTCGCTTCATACACTTGGAGATAATAGCCATTACCACTTGTCAACCCTGATAGCTCCGTTGGTAAAGGATCTGTCTGCATTGCAGGAGACCCCGGTTCGATTCCCGGGTCGGGAAGATCCGCTGGAGAAGAGATAGGCTACTTCCTTCAGTATTCGCAGGCTTCCGTGGTGGCTCAGCTGGTCAAGAATCTGTCTGCAATGCGGGAGACCTGGGTTTGATTCCTGGGTTGGAGAAGATCTCCTGCAGAAGTGAAAGGCTACCCACTCCAGTATTCTGGCCTAGAGAATTCCATGGGCTGTATAGTCCGTGGAGTTGCAAAGAGTCGGACACGACTGAGCGACTTTCACTTCACTTCACTTCACTTCGCCCCTTGTCAAGTGTTTACTGTGTGTTGGATAGACCTGTGTCTATTCTGCAGACTAGGAAATTGAGACTTAGAGCAGTGAGAAGTCACTTGCCCATGACCATATATCTGTAGGTGTGGAGCTAAGCTTCAAACCCAGGTCTCCCTAAATTCAGAGTACATTTTAAATGTTGATAATTCTTGCCCAATTCCCTTCTTAAGAAGGAGTGACTGGGGATTCACTGGCAGTCCAGTGGTTAGGACTCGGTACTTTCACTGTCAGGGTCCAGATTTCAATCCCTGGTGCAGGAAGTAAGATCTCGCAAGCTGCCCACCACCCCTCTTCCCCCCAAAAGAAGCGACCATTCCCCCTCACTTTCAGCCTCACCACCATTTGTATTTTGCCAGATGCTAAGTGAATTTTTTTTTTTTTTATTCACAGGTAACTGGTGAGATTGAACATTTGGCTTTTTTGTTAGCTGTTTGTGTTGCTCTTTCTGGACGTTTCCTTTGCCTTTTTTCCTTTGAGTTTGTCTAACTGTTATGTAGGTCAAGTAATGTAGTTTAAGTTTTGATGCCTTTTGAAGACCAGCAAAACAGCATGTTAGTTGTGCTTGTGTGTAAGTTTTACCAGCTCTTCTCGGCGCACTCTAATAAACATAATGATTTTGAATAAGCGTCTACGTAGGCATATTACACAGACCATGTACTATGAAAGTGTAAGAGGCGTCTGCCGGGACCTGCAGACCCAGTGTTGCTCTCAGCATGTGGCCAGCATCCTCTCGCACTACCCCCGCCTAATCAGTTGCCTTTGTTTCTTCTTCAGGTTGGCCTGCGATGAGATTTCATTCTCTCCATTCAAAGGACATCGTTTCTGAGCCGCTGTGAATAACTTTGGAATGATAACTGTATATTTTCATCTGATGGAGAATTAGCTGAACCTTGACCAAGGATCGCTGCACTGGACGACTTGAGAATCTTACTCACCATGTCATCCAACCGGAGTCAGAACCCGCACGGACTGAAGCAGATCGGCCTCGACCAGATCTGGGACGACCTCAGAGCCGGCATCCAGCAGGTGTACACCAGGCAGAGCATGGCCAAGTCCAGATACATGGAGCTCTACACGTATCCCCCGCAAGCCCAGCCCAGCCCGTGCGCTTGGGGCTGTGATCCTTTGCTGGGCCGACCTGTGGCTCGTTAGAAATTTCACATCATGTGTCCTCTCTGCAGTTCATCCTATGATAGAATCAGTAAGGTTGGTTTTTAGCCTTCACAGTTAACTCGTTTACTCTGTCTGCGTTTATGAACAGAGGTGAAAGTGGCTACTTGGTGGTCTAAATCTGTGCTCTTCAGCCCAGGAGCCTCTTGTGGCTCATGGCTGTTTCCATTTGAAATCATTAGTCGTGGTACCCGTGTTCTAAGCGCACAGTAGGTTCACTTCAACCAGGGCAGGAAGTTCTGTGGCAGGGCACTGCTTACCGCTGGGGGCTTTGGTTTCTGTATTGTCTGGGGCTGCCCTCATGCAGAGGGTCAGGGTAGAAGAGCTTGTGTCAGAAGTGGTCTGGTCCACAAAGCCAAAAATATTTACCATCTGGTCCTTCATGGGACAGGCTTGTGACTCCCATGTAAAAGGGTCACCACATGGAGCAAAAGTTACATTGTTGTGGCCTTGTTTTACAATACAGTGTCCAGGTGTTTCACTCTGTATGGTCCCTGATAGGTGCAAGGGACTGCCGTGTGCTAGAAGGTTGTGTTGTCTGGTGTATGCAGTTGGCCCTCCTGATCCACAGAGGCAGAACTCCAACTGGACTGGCCATTTTATATGAGGGACTTGAGCACCCACAGCTTCTGGCATGGGAAGGTGGGGTGGCCCTGGAATCTGACCCCCACAGGTACCAAGAGATGGCTGTGTGTGTGTACACCAAGGTGTACTACTTAACTTGTAGAATTTCTCTAGTCCATTCAAATATCAGAAATTGCAGTTGAAGCTCACTCACCAAAGGGCGGATTGCTACTGATTTGCTCATTTTAGGAGTTTAAAGTTGTTAGTTCAGGGCAGATTTAAGTTTAAAGCTTTAATGTGTATCAGTGATTATCAAACTTGGTTATGTGATAGTCCAGGAAGCCCTCAACTATGCTAATATTTTACAGTCTTAAAAAAAGTTTAACATTAATTTGAATAGGTATGAAACTATGTGTCTATCTCTAAAATGAAAACTTATTGTAGGTATAGACCAATTTTCATAAATACATATATACTTACACTGTAGAATACTCCAAAAAAATAGCTGTTTTATTGAGTTATTATTCACATACCCATAAAATTCACCCTTTTTAAGTGTCCAGTGCAGCAGTTTTAGGTGTACTCACACATTGTGCAACCGTAACCGCTGTCTAAATTTAGAGGCTTTTCATCACCCCCCAGAGCAACTAACTGCACCCTTGCTAGTCACTTCCCATTCTGTCCTCCCCCCAGTTCCTGGCAACTGCTAACCTACTTTCTGTTTCTATGAATTTGCCTATTCTGGACATTTTACATAAATGGAATCACACTGTGTGTGGCCTTTTGTGGCTGGCTTCTTTCACTTAGCATAATGTTTCCAGGCCTCATTCTTGTTGCAGCATGTGTCAGGACATCATTCCTTTTTACAGCTGAATTTGATGCATATTCCATATTTTGTTTATTCATTCATCAGTGATGGGTATCTGGCTGTTAGGAACCATATTATAAATATTGTGTGTGAGTTTTTGTGTTTTGTGCAGATGTGTTAAAAAACACGTGTGTATATATAGGAGTGGAATCATTGGGTCATGTGGCATGTCAAACACTTTTAAGGAGGCCGTAATCTTTACAAATGAGAGGATATTGATCCCTTCAAGAAGGTTGTGGCTTGCTAGGTGTGACAGGTTTTGTGGTGGAGGTTTTTGAGGTGTGGTTTTTGTTTTTGTTTTTTTTGGTTGGTTATTTTGTTTAATTCTTTAAGTCCTAGAGCTAAAGATGGTGATTCCAGTGATGAAACAAGGCCCTTGGTTGGATTTCTGCATGCCAACAACAGGGGAGCGCTAGAATAGAAATGATGAAAATTTAGTTGCTAGTTTGTCTCCAGGGAGCTTATTAGTTTTCATTTTTGACCAGCCCAGATTGGTCCTTGTTCAGTATAATGTTTTGGTCTTAGAACTGTTTCTCTTCCTCTGCTTGCTGCAATTACTAAATTCTTTTATTCTATAAATATAGTTTGTCGTTTTGATGCTTTCCATTTTAATTTTTTTTTTTTCAGGAATAACTCTTGAGTAAGATTCTTCTAGTAAGGATTTGTCTGAGAAGATAATAGTTTCATTTATTTAGTGCATTTATTAGGAGTGGAGAATCTGCCACCCTTGAGCTGTTGCTGTGAAACTGCTCACCAAACCCTCCTGGGTTGGGACATGCAGTTTTTGAGGGCGTGAGCCCACCGTGCCCCACTTTGCTGGCAAAGCAATAAAACTGTTCTTTTCTACTTCTCCTTTCCTCCCGCAAAAAAGAGATTGGAGATTCTGAACTTGACACTAATTCCTTAGGTATTTGTGAAATCAGAGCTGCCGTTTGAGTCCTGGGTATCAGACACCATGCTGGGAACCATCTACATCTGGTTGGAGGCTTATATCAGTCACCCACGAGGGCTGGTGGTAGTAACCCTGGTGCAGTGCTGTCGGAAACACAGTCTCCCAAAGCTTGGGTAACTTGCCTAGTTGTTATAGCAACCACTGGGCAGTGATGATGCTCATCTGAAATTCTTAGTAGCCTGACTCTAGAAACTGCCTTTATCCACTCTGTGGCCTTCAGATTCTGTATGTGAATGAGCCATAGTTCTCAAAATATTTTCTGTATTTTCCTTAGGAAGTTCCAAAAGAGTCTGATCAACCCTTAAAGATTAACTTTTAGGATGTAGATGAAAGAGAATGTCCGCTTGTGTTTTTTAATTGAATTACTGAAAATCATAAAATTCTGCTGCTTCCTTCACCTGCATTCTTTAACATCAGTGTTATTTTCCAGTATAGAGGAGCTCAAGTCATCTGGCACATTTTTCTAGAACGCACCTTCACTTCCATTTCAGTCATTTACACACAGCTTTTGGAACCTGTGTCGCCGTACCATGGTTCTATCTCAGCCTCAGTTTACGTAACAGTGTTTGTAAAACTTTCTCTTTTGGGTGTACATTCAGTCTCCATGTAACCGCTTGGCTGCATCGCCCTTTAATATAATCTCCCAGGGCTGGTTTCCAGTGACGAATGTTCTAATGCTGGCTTGTGAGGTTGTGTTTCAGGCTGGGAGGTACTTTGGGTCCTGGGGAGAAGGAGCAGCCTGCATCTCCCTGCTGCAGTCAGACCAGGGCCGGTGGAGGAGGCCTGGCTGGGAGAAGGCGGAGGGGTCCTTTCTCCATCGTCACTGTAGACAGCAGCTCACAGCGAGATCTTTACCCTCTGTCTATCTTCGAGAAACACGTGACACATTTTCTAGAGAAAAGTAACCAACTTCTGGAAGTGCAACTAGTGTTCCTAGAGCCTTTAGCAACCGCTGGCACTCCCTGGTGCTATAACAAGAAGTTGGGTTATTATACAGCATAAATGTTTTTCTTGATTTCTCAACTCAGAGTAGCAAAAGGAAGAGAAGGCAACTTGAGGAAAGGGGGGGGGCGGATGGGAATAAGGTTCCAGAGCACCTGAGTCAGAAAGATCTAGTTCAGTTATTAATAACTTTGTTCCCAGCCATTCTGAAAGGCTTCTCTTTTCTCCTTAAAGTTCAGCCTGTCACCCTGGCTCCCCACTGAATGGCGGTTAGCAAGTCTGATTTTCCGTCTTGGGTATGTAGAGTACAGTGCAGCAACTTTTTTTTTGTTTTTTCTTTTTGGAATAAAATATAGGAGTACGTTCTATGCCGGTGGGTAAAAGTAGATTTCCTTTCTTTTGAACTTGAAATGTGTTGTGAAGTTTCCTATTCAGTTTCTTTCTTTCTTTTTTAAAATAATTCATTAGTTTACGGCTGTGCTGGGTCTTCATTGCTGCATAGGCTTTTTTCCCTGGTTGTGCCATGCGGGTGCTGCTGTCTAGGTGCGGTGTTATTGGGGAGCTCGGGTTTCAGTAGTAGCTGCCCTGAAGCATGCAGAATCTTCCCGGACCAGGGATCAAACCTGTGTTCCCTGCATTGGCAGGTGGATTCTTTACCACTAAGCCACCAGGGAAGCTTCCTATTTGAGTTTCTTGACACCACTGTGTTTCCATGCTCAGAGAGCAGGCACGGGTCCTGGCTTCGGGCAGGGGGTGCGGTGTGATGGGGGGACCCCCGTGGCATACCGAGGAGCGGCTGGTCATGGCTCGTCTAGCCGGCAGGCCACCTGGTTAAGTTTGTTGGTTTTGCTAGGCCCCCGGTCTTCCTGCTTCTCACTTCCAAGTCATTCTTTTTTTCCTGAAGTCATTGTTCACATGGAATCATAATTTTAGCTTCCCTTGGAGTCAGTTTAAACTTCTATGTCGATGTCTTTGTCTTTTTCCTCTCTGCCTGCAGACGTTCTCAGACACTTGACAGGGTCTGTTTTCCTGCCTTTGGTGCTGTGAGCTGAGTTAGTTTATTCTGATTTCAAAGTTCCTTTTTTCCCTGGCAGTTACATTAAGGATGACATTCCTATTTCCTAGCCTGGGCTGCTTACCTGTCCACAAGTTGGAATAAAAGCATATTCAGAATTCGCAGTTAAGCTCTGTCCCCACAGTCTGCGTGGAGAAGGAAATGGCAACCCACTCCAGTATTATTGCCTGGAGAATCCCAGGGACAGAGGAGCCTGGTGGGCTGCTGTCTGTGGGGTCGCACAGAGTTGGACACGACAAGCGACTTAGCATGCACTCATGCATTGGAGAAGGAAATGGCAACCCACTCCAGTATTCCTGCCTGGAGAATCCCAGGGACAGAAGAGCCGGGTGGGCTGCCGTCTGTGGAGTCACACAGAGTCAGACACGACTGAAGTGACTTAACAGCAGCAGCCACGGTCTGCAACTCAGTTCGCATCACTGGGGTGGGGTCGCTCTCCTCCCCAGAGCGGCTCCCGGGCCCCTGGCAGAGCTGAGAGCCCCCCAGGGCATGCGGTCCGTTGCTA